CAGCATCACAAATAGAGGATTAGTCTAAACATAGAGGAAGGGGAAACCATGTGACAGAGGAGAGGGGCAGAGGATCGGAGGATTTGGGGGAACACGCAAAACACAGATCTGAGGGAGAAACAGAGAGAGAAACAGAGACAAAGAGAGAGAGAGAAAGAGAGACAAACAGAGATTGAAAGAGACAAACAGAGAGAGAGAAAGAGAAAGAGAGGAACAGAGAGAGAAAGAGAGAGAAACAAAGTGAGAGAAACAGAGAGAGAGAGAAAAAGAGAGAGAGAGAGAGAAAGAAAGAGAAACAGAGAGAAAGAGAGAGAAACAGAGCGAGAGAAACAGAGAGAGAGAGAAAGAGAGAGAGAGAGAGAGAGCGCGAGAGAGAGAGAGAGAAACAGAGAGAAAGAAAGAGAGAGAAAGACCAAGACTGCTAGAGAATCACCAGAGACTTCTGAGACAGAGAGGGATAGATATGTTGATGGAGTGAATGAGTGAATGAGTGAATGAGTGAGTGAAGGAAAAGAAGAGTAAAAGCACAGGAGGGACACAGAGACTTGAACCTCTGCAGAGAGAGAGACATAGACAGGTGTGTGTGTGTGTAAGTATATTTAGTATTTTGACTGAGCGTGAGTGACAGATACAGTCTGCTCCTCAATGAGAATAACCCTGATTCATATCTTATTAATATCATCAGTCATTCATCACTTATATAGAGGCCTTTCAACAGACAGTCTCCTCCTGACAGAATGTTCAGTATGGGCTAGTATTGTAATGACCAGTCTGCTACACTTTACATAACTCTCGGCCAAAGGACCTACATAACCATACATACATTCATACATACACCAAAATCAATGAAGACAATCCGTCACAACTGATCTGATAATTTCCACGTGTATCTCCTCTGACCATCAACACCCAGGTGCCAGCATGTACTAACCACAGAACCAGATAACAAGACACGTGTCTGTCACACTATGTGGCACCAGTCACACTTGTTCCTAAATCATCTAATCGGAGGAGAATCTGTCAGATGTCAGAGCCTGTTACCCTCTCTCATGCGGCTAGGAGGAACATTTTGTCAGAGGAGACATCTTGTGACACTACTCTGGTCCCACAGCAACGTGACGTCCTGTGACACAGCGTTATCTAACCTCCCTGGAAGCAGCCCCCAACCCCCCACCTCCTGTCAACCACCCC